AAACTGCCGGAGATCCATTTCTTCAACTCTGTTGCTTTTTTGCCCGTTGTCCCAGGGCCTGGCTACATTGGGGCGGGGGTAGCAATCCAGTGCCTCCGGATCAAAGACAAACAAATTTGGTGCCTGCAGAGTTAGTGGTGCATCTTTGTTCCCTCTCTGCAAAAGCGTCTTGCAGAGAGGCTTTTTCCCTAGTTTCTTTGCCAAACTGATAAAGGTGAAACCGAAAATACCACTTCACGTAAAAGTACTGCTCTTGCCCAAGAGTTTTATCTCCTTGCTTCTCAGGAGATGGAGACTAGACACGAAACACCATTACCTTCCCACTGTAGTGGTACCTATTTATATACTCACATTTTGCATGCTTTCAAACTAGGTTGGCAGAAGCTGGGACAAGTGACGGAGACTCACTCTATTGCGTGGATTCGATCTTACAACTGCAGGTCTTCTGACCTTGCAGCACAGGGGCTTCTGTGGTTTAAACTGCAGCGCCACCATGATTAAAAGGCCATGACAAATTTCCTGGGGGGAAAGTGACAAAAACCAGCCCAAAAGAACCCCTCCCTTCATTACCACAAGGATTTTCCTGCCCTAGGGACTTCCATGATTTTTGTTCCTCTTGGGTCAGATCCAGCTTTCAGTCTAATTTCCTATCTTGACCACCAAGTCCAGCCCAGAGCAGTAGTCCAGCCAGCCCCTCCCAAACTCCCAACCAAAATTTCTGACATACTGTGTCTTCCCACACCTCCAGTGGAGGGATCATCTTCTCTGCAGGAAAGGGCAGTTTCTGATCAGTGGGTACTACAAACTATCAAGGAGGGCTATAGTACAAATTTTCACCAGACTCCCAGGTTACTTCCTTCTTCAGTCTCGAAGAATGTGAAATAGTTTGCAGTTCTTTCAAAAGAGAGTCATCATCTTCTTTAGGCTTTCATTTTCAATTCACAGCAGTAGTGTTTGGTCTGTCTTTAACACGATGGGTGTTTACCAAGCTTCTGCATGGCTTCACTTAGCACCACAGATGTTTACCAAGCTTCTGGTAGCCTGGATAGCCTTCCTTCACAAACAAGGAATACAAATTCATTTTTCACCTGGCAGACTGATCCTGTTTTGTTCCACCCTCTCTGGAGCTCAGAAGGACATGCAAACTACCCTGTCAATCCTCTCAAGTCACAGGTTCATAACTCATCCAACTACAGTGGTGCCTCGCTTAGCGATTGCTTCGTTTAACAATGTATGGGGGGGGGGGGCTTACTAGATACTTGTTGGAAATGGTCTTTCCAAATCCAGAGAGGTTGTTGAGAATCAGAAAGGGGACAAAGTAATTTACCTACAAAACATCCACCCATCTTATGTTCTTAGCTTATCTGCTGGATCTGGTAACAGCTTGCCTTTTCCTAGTCCCAGGGGCATACCTTCACTCATCTCCTCTAGTTCTGTCTCCAGACTTGCCAACTGGACATTACCAGGAAAACTTGTCTAGTTCTCTCGCTGCTTCCCCTCCTCAGAGCCTCTGGTGGAAGAAAACAACCTTGCCAATCTCCACAAAAAGGTCCCCATGCAGGAGCCTCAGAAGTTTTAATTACCAATGCCAGCCTTTTGGGCTGGAGATCCCACTCTTTTGGACTCATAGTCCAAGGGAATCA